TGCAGAATAGTTTTCATCTTGTTTAGATAGGTCTGGTAAAGAAAGACGGGGATAAGATTATGATTCAATAGTGAGTAATTGTTATCATGACTAATTGCGACTGTCACAATTGTAAAGGTAGAAGTTTTGTAACAAAAACAGGGGAGTGGTTAATCTTACAGTCCAGAAACAAGACCATTAAGAGAGAAGAGCACAAGTGGAATGTGAGACCTTATCCAGAAAAGCAGGGACACCAGAGATGGAGGTAGAGATGGAGACATGGAGAGAGGGCACAGTTGAGGACTCTAGATTCATGGGAAGAGAGGGACTAAGAGCTGGCAGCCAGGATACAGACTTGGAAAATGCACCCTTTGGTAGTGTAAATTATTATATATGCTTGAGTGTGAGTGTTTTTTTGAAAAAAAAAAAAAAAAGGGAGCTAAAATGAATAGAAAGAAATACTGTTAACTAATGGTACATGGAGGGGATTATAATCATTGTAATATAAACAAGGTATATAATTTATTGAGTGTAAAACTGATGATCTGCCCTCTAAACTTTCTTTCAATTCACAATAAAAACCTTAATTTTATTAATACTAAAATGTTACTCCCTATTTTTAATATTGGGCACAACTGATCATTTCATGACCACAAGTTACATATAACTCATAGCAGAAAAAGATACACAATGGAAATTTAAGGAATTCAAGGAGATTAAGCACTAGATTTGCTATTTCATACCAGAGAAGATAGGACTGATGAAGATTTTTTTTTTTCCCCCCATCTAGACACTTCTATTCAGGGTGAGGAAGAGGAAGGTGACCTCTGCCAGAGAGAGAAAGCAGGAGGCAGAACGGAAGAGAGAGAGCCAACAGAAGGGAGTGGTCTTATATAGGTTGAACAGGAAGGGAGTGGTCACTGCTGGTGTGATTTAGCTCTGGCCTATCAAAAGCCATGTTGCCCTTTAAACTACACGCCTTGTAGCTTAGGGCAGGCAAACAGACAAAATGGAGTTGAGGGGAGAGGGATGAACCCGGAACATACAGCCTAAAAAGGTGGACCTGATATTGTAACATTTCCCCCTCTTTGATTAAACAAGAAAAATGAATGGCCGTCTCTATGATCCATGCCCACAGGAGAAGGGACGAAGGTCATTTTCCGTAGCTACTTCCTACTGGCATTGGGGTGACGAGGCTGTGTTTGGTCTTTGGGCTTGGACTACGGTCGCCGATGGCTTTGTCGTTGTTGGCGGTGTTGTCAATAGCCATTGAGCTCTTTAATAGGATACCAAGAAGTGATGGAACCAGGTCAGCAGCTGGACTGGGCTTAGGCCCGCAGTTTTAGGTCTTCAGAACCCGAGCCAGAGAGCTAAAGGATTAACTCCTGCCGTTGATGAGTGCTAAAAAGGCATTAGGGAAGATGATCACGGGTGCTGGGAGGGCATGTTAAAATGAGCGGGTTAGGGCGCCAGGAGAATTGGGGTCCTGAGCCTTCCAATGTTTAAATCGGGGCCTCAACCATCCCACTTCTGACACCAATGAAAGCGAAAAAACAACACGGCACCGTTCATCAACCACACCTCACACCAACTGGCCCGTCTAGAGACTTTATTCAGGGTGAGGAAGAGGAAGGTGACCTCTGCCGGAGAGAGAAGGCAGGAGGCAGAAGAGAAGAGAGACAATAGATTTTAAATAGTGCTTGTTTGAAATATATTAGTCCCAGAATTTTGCTACTGTCACCCACCTGTCGTAACTGAGATTCATCTCGAAGTTGACTTCTAGCGTCAGTGTACATTTCGTCTAGTCCCTGCCGGGAATGCTTATATGTTTGAAGCTCAGTTTCCACATCTACTTTGGTAACCTAAGAGGAAAATGACAAACTCTTTATTCTATAACCACTCTATATATACAGGCAGCACAGAAATATCTAGTCTACACAAGTCTCTATAAGTAGCCATTTCTGACACAAGACAGTCTGAAAGCAGTCTATACATACCTCTAAATGCTGCTGTGTTTTCATTAAAATCAACTTATTTTCACTTCGCAACTGATGATTTTCTTCTTGAAGCTTAATGATATTATTCTTTGCTATTGCTAACTACAAATTACAAAACAGGGGCAAGAAAAAAAAAAAGACTTTAAACATTTTTATCACTTACTTTGCAGGTTATATTCATGGCTATAAATAGCAAAAAATAAAATCCTAAAACTATGGACACTTTTGTAAGAAAAATGTGTTCCTTTTATCCCAAGTTACAAATTAAAGTATATACCTATTTCCACTATTTTCTTTGGTTTCTTGTTGTTGCTAAGTGTCATCGAGTCTCCAGGACTCCATTTCCTTTGGTAGTCTAATAAATACTTTATGCTATCTGATTTATAACATGGCAGTACCTAACGTAAGGATATAGAGAATGGTGTGCTAAACAGTAAGACTTTAAAGCAATTTTCAAAGACAGAAATATCTATAAGGAAAGAAGGCTGTGCCACATTGAAAATGTAATACAGAACTTGATGGGAACCAATCAGCACACCCTGTGACATCTAGGCCTGTAACAGGAACTTCATGACCATGACAAATACCGGATGGCTCTTACCAGGGGAGTCAAACATTTAATGAGTAACTGACTTGGCTCTGAGGCGCAAATGACAAGAGAAATCCTAAGAAAGTAAAAAGCAGGAGCCATTTCACAATTCTGGCTGGGTCGGAACACATTTTGGAAGAGCTTGTTGGGGATGTAGCTTGAACCTCACAGTGTACCTACATCTCTGGAATGGTTCCAATCAGGGATTCAACCCCTAAAATGAAGATGTGTTCTTAACTGTAGTCACACTTCCTGTTATGGAAAAATTAGGCCAGTTCTAAAATAAAGGAGAATTTTAATTTACATGGAAAACTCGGCTCATAGCAATGGAAGCAGACTTCTTCCTATAGCCGCCTGAGTAAATTAGAAGAATTTGTTTGGGTTGGCGAGAAAAAAAACCATTTTGAACTTATTTTAAAAACAACTTTACAAGCAGTATTAAAAAAGAGTGGAGATAAATTTCTGGATCTTTTTCAAATAAATCAAGTCCATGAGATAACCACTTTTACAAAGCAAAAAAAAAAAACCAGAGCAGATGAGTTTTACACATGGGAGGGTAGAAAAAAGCTGACAGGTCCCATGGTGATGCTTAGAAAGAAAAGTAATCCAACTAGTAAAACAAGAGGGTGGCATCATTTGAACAAGGAATTTATAACTGTACGTGACTCAATGATCTAAGAACAGGCCATCTGGATCTGAAAATCAGAATCACAGCTTATCTGCAAAACAGCCTGTGTGAGCTGTAGCCCTCGGACTCATTCTAGAAGATGAGGATCTCAAGCATCGTGTCTCACCAGTTTGTAACACAGTGAAGATTTGTTGAGAAAATGTGGTTTCTTTAGAATGTACAATCATCAATTACAATGACTTTACAAGTATCCCATGATGAGGCTGAGACACATGTAGGTGTATATAACATATACATATACAACACTTAACATGGAAAAGAATCACCAACACTGGGTCGCTGAAAGACACTCATTACTATTGACAATACCTCTTCAATCAGCTTAGTGTTTGACGTTTCTAATGAATCAACTCTTGAATGGAGGCTGCTGACTGTGCTGCTGAAATTAATAAAGAAAAACTCGTTCAAAATCACAGAAAATCACAAAGGTATAAGAAAAAAGAAGACGCTATCCTGCCTGGACTTATTAAGCGGACTCTCATGCATCAAATGCCCTGTCCTTACCATGAACTTTTTAAAAACTTCATTTGGCTAAGACAGCAATAAACTACCATATAAGATAAATATTTCTACTAAAATCCCATTTGGTGCTACTCATTTTTTCTTACTGTCTTCTTAGGATTGTTCTTACATGTAACTTATATTTAGGAATGAAAATTCTACCCAAACATGACGCTACTTTGCTAAAAATTCAATTTAAATGATTTTTAAAATAACAAACCTTAAATGACCCCTTTATAATTAAGTGGCTAATTGAAGCACATACAGAATGGTCTTTAACCTGTTCTACTTTCCTAATAACCTGGAGACTTCCAAAGTCAACTAAAACCCAAACACCAAACCCACTGCTATCAAGTAGATTTTGACTCATTATGACTCAGTAAAGGGATTCTAAGGCTGTAAACCTTTATGGGAGCCCAAAGCCTCGTCTATTTTCCAAGAAGGAGCTAGTGGGTTTGAACAGCCAACCTTATGGTTAACAGCCCAGTGCTGACCCTGCAGCACCACTAGGGCTCCTTAAATAAATGGAAAATTTGAATCACGCTGCCTTTGAACATATTTGGTTTTTTGGAACAGGTCAAGGTTGAGTATTAACATATTTATGGAGTCTGTTTTTCAAAGCCTGCTTGATACTTTTTGATATATAAAATATAACGTGTGTGTATATATATATATATATTAAAACTGACAGCATACACAAATTTTATACCAACCTCAGAAATGAGCAATAGCATTTCAGTTTAAGTGGTGAAGTAAGGAAAATGTGTTTTCCATTCATAGTAAATCTTTTTTTAATTGTGAATTGAGTGAAAGTTTACAGGGCAGATCATCAGTTTCACGTTCAATAAATCATATACTTTGTTTCATTACAATGAATATAATCCTTTCCTTGTACCATCCATTAACAGTCATATTAAATCATTTTAGGAAAGAAGTTACAACTAAAGTTTTCCCACAAATAATAATGGGTATTGAGATGGAGACAGAACAAAGATCGGCCTGGCAGATGGTGGACTAAGGTTACTGCTCCTGCTTTTCTAACTACATGATGAAGAAGTTATAAAACCTTTCTAAGCGTCAGTTTCCTTGTCTGTAAAACTGGACAATAATGTTTACTTTGTCTTTATAACAGAGAGGATCAATAAAATAAGTAAAACTCACAGTGGGGGTTTTCTTTGACATGGGAAAATAACTCAGTTCTATTGTCTCCTGCCTCGGAAACCCTGTACAGGGTCGCTATGGGTCGGACCCGACTCGATGGCACTTAACAACAACAACAATTGTCTCCTGAACCTATTTTCTACACTTCTCTGAGACTATTCTAAATGCGTAAATACTTTCTAATTAGAGAAACAATGACACATAAAGTATACAAAAGAAAAGCATTAGCATTGCTGCCGATTTAATACACATAATTTGAAAGACTGAGAATGAGAAAACTCTAAACCTAATGAACAGACTCCAAGATAAAGTGCTGAGTGAAAAAATAAAGCACAGAACAGTGTGAAAAGTGTACGCTACCGTCTATGTAAAATACTTATTTGCATAATCTTGCTTATCAGCATAAAACACCTCTGGAGGCATATAATAGAATGCTCTTGCAGGTAGTGGTTACAAATCGGGTGGGCTTCTAATCTCAGTGTCAACAGTTCCATGGGAGAAAGATGAGGCTTTCTGCTCCCGTAAAGATTTACAGCCTTGGAAACCCTGTACAGGGTCTCTATGAGTCAGAACTGACTCCATAGCACATAACAACATTATATTAAATTCTCATGAAAAGGGAAACCAGATAGCTGGGGTTCAGAGAAAAACTTTTTATTTTATGTTCTTTTGTACCTTTTGCAATTTTGCACCATGTGATTATATTACCTGTTCTAAAACATGAAGTTTAAAAATAATCAAGGAAGCATTGCATTTAGAAATACAACTTTAGGAACTCAAATGATAAAACACACACAAACAGGAGTAAGTTAAAAAGTGTGGTTACAAAATCATTGCAATGTATTTTTTTCCAGGGCAAGATGGCAGAGTAGACAGACGCACCTAAGACATGGCAGGACGTGTGAAACAGATACAGAAGTTGATTCTGTAACCCTGAGCAGAAGAGGATAGAACAGAGAGGTAAACTGAGTGCAGTCTGGAAGAGGAAGTTGAACAGGACCACTGAGAGAGAAGAAAAAAAAGTGGACTCTGGGTTGGCATGAAGAGGTGCAGTTGTTTATACAGTTGCCTGCAGGCACAGCACACTGCTAGAGGTTGGCAGTACGAGGGTACAGTCTTCCTTGTTCCCAAGTCCTCCTGGTGGTCAGAGATGGATGTGGCCAGTCTCGCCCTCGCCAGCCCAGCAACCAATGGCACCTCCTTCCGTGCAGCCTCTGCTCTTCCTGGGCTCGAGTGGCAGCAATAATGCCCCAGCTCCTGGAGGCATGTGAACCTACCCTGAACTACACTACACACACAGCGAACAAAGAACAACAGTGTTCACACTTCTGGTCTCTACCACATCCACCAGGAGATAGGTGGTGAATGCCTGAGAATACACCAACATACAAACATCAACTAAATATAAATATGATACCATAATGTCTTGGAGAGAAAAAACAATTTCAGCTCACACAAAGAAACAAAATAGAGTGCCTCAAACAAGTAACCACAATACAGAGTTAGAAAAGATTAGAAATGGTATCAGAACTTACTGATAGGTATTTAAAAGAATTTTAGGCAACTTCATGGATTGTTAGAATGATCAAGAAAACTGCCTATGAAATCAAGGAAAATAAAGACACTGGAAGGCCACACTACTAAACCTGAAGACAAAACTCTCAAGATCCATATACTGGAACAACAATCAGAAAAAAGAATACAAAGCACAACTACAGCATGACGTCCATGGCAGCATCAACCTGAACTCAGTCGACAAATGGAAGAGTCAAGAACAGAATAAAATGATAAGAACAGAGGATCTGGGAGATCAGTCTATGATCAAAACAATTACAATGTGAA